AACCGGCGGTTTTCGGTTAAAACCGGCGGTTACCCGCTAACCGCAAACCGAAATGACAGCCCTAGGCATAACCAGATAGATTAAAAAGGATTTAGGGATTGAAAATAAAAATTAAGGATTTGAGATGGAGATTTGGGAATTGAAATAGGAAGAACATAATTGAAGATTAGGAATTAAAATTGTAAATTTGACAGAATTAGGAAGATCAGTCATTTAAGGTTAGGAGAGAAGTATTGGGAGAATAGATTTTGGAAAATGTTTATTTAATTAATCTTTGCTTAATCCTAACTAAATAACTCTAGCATATATTTATAAAAAAATATCGAAAACCTAATAACAAAATTAATTTTATTTACTCTTGTTGGCCACCTAACCCCATAATATTAATAATAGTAATATAACTAATAATTAAAAAGCATATTTCTAACACATTCTAACAACAACAATTATGAACACCACAATGTGAAAAAGGGGATGCGCACGCTACGCACCTCAAACAAGAGTGTCTAGTGAGAGAAAATAACCTAAATATTTTTTTGTCCAAGAGATAACAAGAGAAAATTAGAAATGAAAAGTACACCCACATTTTAGGAAACTTCCCAAAGAGATACTCTAGTGGAGCTACCCTGTAGAAACAAAGGAAACTAACACTAAACGAGATAGTAATAGGGTTTTAGGTGCAATCCTCTAGGAAGTCCAGTTTAGGGTTTGCAGAACTGCTCTATAGACTATACAAAGAGAAGCACATGAGATCAAATGACAACACTCTTGGAGCAGGATGCCCTGCTAGAGAATCTGCCACCACACCTAGATAAAGCTCACAAATCACCACCTTATAATCACCTTCTAGTATAACGTGATGAAGTCTTCCGGAACAATGATTGAGCGGGTATCTCTAGCAGCATGTAGCTCCACAACGTAGGGATCTCAAACGAAGGAACATATGTGTATTGACTGTCCCTCAAGCTCAAATGAAGAAGAAAAAAACATACTTAATTGAAGAGCAACAGAGAGCATATGATATGTGGAATTCCATCTAGTTGGACAATCAAGTACTAGTTTTTTCTCAAAAGACAACTTCAGTTGCTTAACAACTTCAAAGAAGGTTTGAACCCTCTTAGGTGTAGAATTCCAGTAAACTACACTCACCCTAATCAAATGTATAGCATCTTTGATTGCATCCAAACCATACCTCACAATCAAGTTGAGAATATGAGTTGAACACCTCATATGAACCAATTTACCATAAAGCCAAAAATCACTGCTCACAAGCTTATTTCTCATATGAAATATCGTTGAATCATTGGAAAAACAGTTTTCCAATGTGATTGAGGATAACTTACTGTCAATGTTCCAATCCAAAAGATAATCAAACAACCTATCAGCTAGTCTTTCACTAGTGTGAGGGGCTAGAACATACATAAACCTCAACATTATGTTAAGGATCTTCCAAGAGTGGTCAATAAAGTGACCAGTTACTGCCATATACCTCCTTTTTTATTTGAGGCAGTACACAAATCAGTAGTCACTAAAACCCTCCCCAGGTTACCATCAATCATGGTATGATATATTGCCCTTTCAACCCCATACAAACCCAGAATACCCTTTTTCGCAGTGTGTCTACTAGGAACAACAAATTGAGGTTGAAGAGAACAACAAAAACGTTTGAACCACATGATCAACAAGGATAAGGGTGGTACTCATGGACCAGAATCATCAAACTCAGTTCCTTTCTAGAAACCTCGTAATTTTATTGAGAAGCAGAGAGTTGAGGATTTCCAGCAGCTTGGTAGTTGGGGCCAAGTATTTTTTTAGAACCATCATGTATCCTCTTCTAGATACATGTTTTGATATGGTTTCTCAGGTGTGAAGTTCCATTACTTGTTTCCCCACCAAGGGGTTTACGACAGTACTTACACCTAGTTTTCATAACCCCATTAATCCTAACTCGGTTGAAGTGAGGCCACACATTAGAGGTTAACTTACGTTGATCTTCTAGCTTATCATCATTACCATTGACCAGATTAATTGCATAAGGAGCAGGTTGTTCAGGTTGGACATCATTTTTAGAGACATTAGCATTAGGAGCAGGTTCAACATTCATAGTAGTAGCACCTTCCATCAGGACATAATCAAGTTATATGTTACTGATTAGGCCTTAATTGTACTTAGTTACATTGACATGACAACACTAAACCAGCAAACAAGACACCATTTTCAGCAATATTACCATTACGCTTTACTTCTTCTAACTTAGTTCTTAGCATTAGCAAGCAATAGTCAGAATAAGTCGCACAACAAACACAATGGTTACTGCCTACTGGTTAGGATTTAGGAGAGGAGAACAGGATTACCTTCTCTTTGAGTTTTTTGTGGAGTGTCGAGTACCCAATGACAGTAGACTGATCACTGATAACTTGATCTTCAGTCCTTGAAGCTCGATTCAAAATGAGTTCACCCTGGCCCAAAAAATGAGTAAACAACGAACAAAAAGCAAGTTAGAACTAGATTTATGAATGCATGTCTGTATTGACACCACTAACCCAGAAAAGTCGACAAGAGATTAAGATCCTTACCCTCGAGGCCTGGACTCTATCTGGAGGCCCGTCACAATCTATCTGTCTCTTCTCTCTGTGGACTGGTGTGTTCTGGATATCAAAAGATGTCCAGATGGTGAGAAACGACCTCTGAAATTCCCTCTATATATAGCAGTACAAAAGTCAGTAGAGATTTTGGGTCTACAATGAAGAAAATCGAAAGAATAGAAAAAAACCTAGAATTAACTTATCTGTTATCGAATAATCAGCGATTTGAACTCCAAGCGACTCTTTGTTGGGCTGCGTTCGACGAAATTGTCGTCAGATGGTTGTTCCTCCTGCCATGTGATTGGTTGAATAGAGGAATTGAAGACAGATCATAAGGAAACAATGAGAGATTTGTCAATTTTGGTGAGGGGAAAAGGCAAAAAAATCGGCCAAAATCGTGGTTATCTAGCGATCTGATCGCTAATCACCAGAGAGGAGGCAGAAAGAAATAAGGAAACTAGGGTTTGGGATTGGGAGATAGTTGAATGAAGAATGAGGTGCTTGCTAGGGTTTCTGAACGTGTAAGCAGCAAATATATATGATCTGCTAAACGTCGTCATTTTGGAGGACGGGTAATCCGTCGGGCGAGTCTCGCGGCTGATAGTTGTCGATCCGTCACCACCCGAAACCCAAGTTTGACGGACCTTGGGTTCCCCTTCACCCGTTGACGAGCCTCAGAAGTAGGGGTGGGCAATGGGTACCAGACCGAATCAATGTTTGGATTGGATCACACCGAATTGAACATAATATGGTTCGGTCCTTGTTTCTATTAATTTTAAAAATACTGAAGAAAAATGGACCAAATTTACATTTGGACCGGACCAAATGAACCAAAGAGGACCGAATGCACTATTGGTCCGGTCCTTGGTTCTAAGATATCTTTCATTTGGACCATGATTCTCCTATGTTGGTCTTATCCGCTCCGGACCGGACCGATGCCCACCCCTACTCAAAAGGCATTCCACTTGGGGCCTTATCGGACGGGTATCTGCCTACGGGTCCGGGCCTGCCATCCCTAGTTAATGGATATCATATTCAATATGATACACATTTTATCTAATGTTGTTAGTATGATCTAGTTAGTTTAGTGTGCTTAATTTGTTTTGAAAATTGTGCCACTTGTTATACTTAATATGGCTTTAGAAATATGGTTCTAAAATAATTGAATCATGTGCTATTAAAACCAATCAATTATACTTACCGAAACCTAACCCAATTCCATACCAATCCAAATCTAATCCAATCAAGAAAAGATAAGATGAATGTAGGTACAATACAATCAAAATTCAATCCAATTAATGTAAGAATGAACCAAAACAATTGTCTCAAAACAACCCATTGTCATCCATTCTTTAACCCATCTCTTAATTCATTTTCTCAAATGTAACACTTTGAATAAAGAAACGAAAACAAATGCGATCTACAATTCTCCCCCGTCACAAAAGCCAGCCACATTGGATTTTGTTTTGATCCCAACAAAGCAAGCATGTTCAGGTGCTTTCAATTGTGGTATGCCCAGAACTTTTGTTGCAAGGAGAGTTAAAGAACATGCACAATCCCACACAGATTATGTTGCATGGAATATTCCAAGGGCAGTTGGTTATAAAATAGGTTTGGGTAACATCTTGACAACTTGTTACATAGTTCTTCCTCCCCAATCTAAATTAGGGAAGTTGGCAGTTAGTTCCAGTTGGGTCCGTCGTGTGGTAGCATATAATATGTAAAAACCATCACAGCAAACCTTCCTTAGGGCTTTCACTAGAAGAGGAGGGAGGGAAAGGAAGGACAAAACCAAAGTGGGGAAGAATCAGTAGAAGCAGTAGTGGAGACTAACATGCACACGTTCTTATGATCATTCATTGATCAACTTTTGCCAACTTTGTCTGCAGAAAGTAAAATGCAAAGCCCAAAGCCCTCTCTCTCACTCTATCTCTTTGCTAAGGAAGACTATACTACTACTCTACTAGTTTTCTTTTGGTTTTGACAGCAACCAAAATCTAGTAGCCTTCATGTGCTGCTGCAGCAAAGCAAGTGCTTCCACTCCCCAACTGCCACCTTCTCCATATGCTATGCAAAGCAAGCAAACTCTGCTTCTCTGCCCTCTTCTTTCCTTTCTTTCAAATGGGTTTGTTTCCATTATTGTCCATGGCAGGAGGAAAGTGAAACACTACCCAGACAAACAAGTTGGAAAGTGAATGCGGAACCAAACAAGGGGAGAGAGATCAGCCAATAGGAAACGAAACCTTAAAGGGGACCAAGGCAGCCCAATTTGAAAACACTAGCTAGGGAGAATTTGTGGTGCCAAAAAAGCAGTCAGCAAAGCTGGAGATGATGCTGCAGATAACGCAGGAAAACGAAAAAAAGAACCCGCCTTTTGTTTCCGGGTTGGTTTGTCTATCACTCCCGATTACTAAGTCTGGTTCCAATTCAGCCATATAGATTACATTTTGTACTTGGATAACGGCAGGGAGACTGCATTTCATCGCATAAGCTATTGGGTCGCTTACAATCCGGTTCAATCATCAATGGAGAAGAAGAGAAAGTCTGAACAGAATACTAAAACTCAAGGTCGACTACTGGATTTGAATTCTGGGAACAAGGAGGGAGGCACACATTTGAATATACCTATTTGCATCGTTGGCAATTTTATACAGTACAATGAACAACAAACAGCATGACATTTCTCAGACGGGAGGGAGGGAAAGAAGAAATTTCAATTTACAACTTGGAATCCATGCAACTATAGTCTTTGTATCATCTTCCGACCAGGGGTATGTTTCCATCCAAGGGCTAGGGAATATAATTTTCACATGTTTACCGGAGGACTTCCCTGAGATTTGGCAGTAAAAATGGGTAAAGCAAAATTACGGTCAGGGAAGGGGCGAAGTCGGGGAAGCAAAAACACAAAACAGATTTCACTGACCTTGAATAAGAGATCACAAGCAATGTCTTCCCAAGGTAATGAGATGGACATCAAGCAGCACTTGAGGGGCAACATTTCGTCGTCAGAACCAGCTGAGGATGAAGCAGCAGCATAAGCATTCTTTGCAGCTTCAGATGCAACAGATGCTGCTCTTTTCATAATTGACCCAATCCCAAATCCTTTCTTTGATGCGAGAGGTGAGAAAGGACCGATATCCCCTACCTGGCTTTGATCTTTAAAAAACCCAAGTTTTAGTATAGCAAAGAAAACCTGAAACTAGGCCTCTGTTGAATACAGATATGATCCGTGAAAAATAATGCATTGGGATGAAATGTAAAAAACACAAATCAACACTCTAAAATTATGCAGGAGAGGATTGGTAAGAGAATTATTATTAGAGGGAATTTTCAAAATACCTGCAACACCAGAAACTGCGACTTCCACTTCCCCTCGACCCCCTGGACCTTTCATGAAAAGCCTGTCTGGTTTACGGGGTGACTGTCCAAGTGAAAGAAGGCTCCCAAACCCAGGCTTGCCAGCTTCAAAAGGAAAGTCGGAAACCAAATGAGAAAAGAATGGTGTGTGCATTTAGACTCTGCACTAAGTAAGATAAGAAGGCCACGAAAGCACATTAAACCAGGCAAGACGTGGATTTTTTGCTTATAACGTTCTTCACGATTCTAGTACGACACAATGCAAAAACAAGTAATTACCGAGCTGATGGCTGATGCCGCACTGCCAAGCTTAAGAACAAATATGAAATTCATAGAACACTTCTCCAGAAAAGGAAAAGTAAACAGTTTTGTTCCTAGAGTTTCAATGGATTATAACCAAAGGAATAACCAAAAAAGCCCATTCTAGTTCTCAGAGTACATACCCTCATAAGCTTGTCGAACCATTTGGTAGCTTACAAATCCAGAGAAAAGAGTGAGCTGCAATAATGACAGCCAGAGCATTAGTTTACTTGTCTAATTCTCTTCCAGGTCAAGAATATTGAGAAATATCATAAGTAGACAGATGATACTCTTAAAGTCTAAATATCTTTCATTACACAACACCTACCTACTTAGCTCCTTGTACATAGTAACAACGTTAACCAGCAGAATATATCCTTCTCTAGTAAATTCCTTCAGCGTATATGTTAAATTTGGATAGGAGACCATTCAGCAGTGCCGACCATTCAATCTCTCTACGTCATATGTAAGCTATGTCTACGTGTAACTTCGATCAGACTTTTACAATCCTGCCCAGGTTCTTAAGGTGTATTTATCAAGTTATGCATACTAGATTGTTTAAAAAATTGTTACCAGACTTGAGAGCAAGAATCATCAAACTGGAGAAAGCTTACTTTTTTAAGAAACAAATAATACCCACCGACTATAATATCCAACATCCTCAAAATCATTGATAACTGAAACATATTACCAATCTAACTCATAGTTGATCCAGACCTTAGATGCTTTCATCTTTGCAGAACCGGAGGTGTTACTAGACCCACTATCATGGGACTCCTTTTCATTAGGAAATGCTGCCCCGTCATGTGCATTTAGAAGCACACAATAGCAATGGTCTCTTTCCGTCAAGACCTGCATAGTAACAAAATCAACTGAAAGCGTAAATTTGTATTGAATAACAGTCCTGCAAGTGCTAATTCTCACAATCTTTATCTCTGTCCTCTTTTCTGTTCTTTTTTCCAGGGTGTAACTACCTTTCTTTGTACTTGATTATTTGAGATTTTCGCGTAGGGATTCCTTCACAAGCTTACTTAAACTAAGAAGTATTAATCAAACATAGGCAATGTCATGGTATCTTTCAATATAACTCCTCCCTAAGCAATATATGTTTTTTGGGACTTTAAAGACTAGAAAAGTCAATTTCTCAATGCAAGTCGAAGACATTGTACTTCAGATTTGAATAGATAAACTACTACATTTTGAAAAGTTCTGAAGTGCATATAAGAGGAGAAACAAATATTCCCCAAAGAAGGAATACAATCATGAACATATTTTGGAAACCAGAACACATGAATTTGCTTCAAGGAAAGAGAACACATTAGTCATCTCATTGTCAAGTAAGAGATTGAAATGAGAATCCAGTTATGATCATTGAGCAAAATCTAGATGGAATCAGATGGCACATATATTTTGATGACAATGTCAAAAGGAGAATGGTCGGAAGTTGAGTCTATAATCCGGAGCTAAATGTAGCATTAGAAGGTAAAATTGAGATGACAAAATAACATTACCACAGCATCAAAAGTGGAGTCGAAATCATCAACTGCAAAACATATTTCCGGATAGGCAGGTGTCGTCTCCACTTCCTGCGCAGCCATGAAAAAGCACCGGGATGAAGTTCTAATGCACCAAAAGAGATGTAAATCAACTGCGACTCAGCACATAACTTACCTTTTTAGAGTCCAGATGAAAATTTACACGACTTGGTGATGCATAAACAGTCTTCACAACCTGCATCAAGACCGCAACAAGCTCTTTAACAATATATACACAAGAAACATAAGGAACTGCCAGCATAGCCCCTCCTCATATAAGGGATCAAGCAATATGGAATTTTAAAGACACAGGTCTCATAATAAGCTGAACAGTGAGTCTCTTATTTCAAGTTACAGAATCCAGAAAGACTTAGGGAACAGTGTCAACTTAATTAAGCTACCAACTAAATGCTTGAAAACTGGAGTAAGCCAAAGATACACCACTCAATGGTCCCATAACATAACTACTAAACATAAAAGTCAGACTCACCTTGTATACGGGAGACAAAGGCATATTCTGGCCAGCTTGATGATTCTGAAGGACATGGTGACTGAAGAAGCACCAAACAACCATTATAAACGGGAAAATTCTTCAAAGGATAAAACATGTTCCACTTTCATACAAGCACACAATATTAATTTAAAACAAGCAAAGAGAAAACCTAAGTAGAGAAGACAAGAGTAAACAATTAATAACAAAACTTAAAGCATGATTGCTCTAAAGAAGAAGGGGGAAGTTAGGCAGAAAGTATACCTGCAAATTGCTACAGTTACTGTGTATGATGTGTGTGCTATCATGTTCAGGTAAAATGAGCGCCCCCAGTCCACGTCTACTGAACTCTCAGTTATTAGATGATCCAACTGGTAGGCAAGGTGAGGTAGATACATTATGTAAGTACCACAGGTTAACCCCTATGATTCTTCCATCAGTTAACTAGAGAACATGGTCTCAAATGCACCTATAAGTTTCCAAATGAAATAGTCTAAACCATGGCCAGTCTTCTGAGTTTCCATATTGAAACATTTCGGCTGACACGGATTTTGAGTCTCCATGAACTAAAAATCATGCTAAGTTTATTTACCTTAGGTGCCCACCTGCGCACAAAGTATGGCGAGTCATCATCCTCGTCATCACCGGCACCTCTTTCCTGTGCCATCTACACGACATCACGAGGTAGTAAAATTGTAGCCACCTAACTATCCACTAGAACAAGCAATAAACAAGGAAAACACGGGGAAAACAAACAAATAATGCTCAACCTTCTTCTTAACAAAGAAAATGAGATCATCCTCTTCCCTTCCACTCGTCCCTTTGCCACGGACAAAGTACATATCAAACACATCACGCCAAAACCGAATGTCCATTTGAGCATCAGAAGGATCTTGGTTCTCTTCCCGCCCTAAGAAGGCCGAGTGCTTCTTCACCATAGTCAACAACTCATACCTAAACGAACATAAAACCTTGCATTAAAGGTTTGCACACAGCAACCGAATTCCTTCCCTCAAAGGTTCAACGCATGGTAGGTGAAGAACAGAATAGAGATATTCTAAGCCGCATTCACAATAAACCCAACACCTACCCTAGGGCACTTCACGCGATGGAAATTTACAGTTCCAAGAGACAAGCTCAAAGCTATCATAGCCAATGCTAGTAGTTCCAAACTCCGACGATTTCCAAAAACGAAATTGAGAAGGTAAAAGGAAAATCCCTAATTGAAGTGAGTGTAATTCTCCATTTACCTGGAAGGAGTATCTCCGCCGACTCCAAGCATTTCTTCTCTGAAAACTGTTCCTTTTGCTTGTCTCTCGAATTCGGAGGTGGAGGTTTATGGAAGTTGATCGAAAGTGAAGGCCCCAACTGGAAACGAAGAGGCTCCTTGTCAAGTAATGGCCTTCACTGCAGCAATTATGGCGTTCGTTTGTCTTTTTGGCGTTGGAAGGATCAAAAACTCTGGCTGACGGGCTGGCGCGGGCTACTCACTCGCCTACTCTCTCACAGAGTTTCTCTCTGTTTGATCTGAATAGTTTTCCTTCTTTTATTCTTTTTATAGCTTCGTTGCAGAGAAGGCACACCGACGTGTACGTCCGTGTGGCGTGGCGGTTGCGAGGCACAATGCATTTTTGGGCCTGCCGCAGCAGTTTGCATAACACGCCGCTCGTTACCATACTTTCTAAGTCCAATAGAAAAGCCCAAATTACTTTTTTTTTTCCATAGAAACCCTTGCGGATTAACTAGGTAAGCACGAGATAGCCACAATACAACGGCTTCTTCGTGAAATGATAGTCAAAGCAAATAAGAACAATTAAAACGAATACTACAAGAGCCAGAGTAGCATAAGGCATTACGTGCCACAACATGGGCAGCCCGATTCGCTTCTCTAGGAGTAAAAGCAACAGAAACCAATGGCAATTCTTGCAACATAAAGATGACTTCTCGTAAGATAGCCCCCACAAGGGCATCATTGGCATCAGAAGCCTTCAAATGTTGTACAACTGCAAGAGCATCACTTGTAATCACAATCGGTAGATCCTGCCACTGCCATTGTCGAAGTAGTAATATAGCTTCTCTAATTGCCAACACCTCCATGATCTTAGGATGAAAAAGGCCTGGAAAGAAACCACCCATTGCAAAAACTAGCACATTCTGATCCAAACCCACCACGCCAATTGTGCCATGAGTCGGAGCACTTGTCGCCCCATCAACTGCTATGCGAAAAGTAAATTGAAGCGTCGAACGAGGATAAGGCTGAGGTCTGGGTGGCGGCGACTGATTGGGTAGGATGGCAACGAGGAAAAGCCCAAATTACTTCTTTCATTGTTTACACATGTTAGCAGGTGGGAATCGATATAGTATCGATATCCCCATCAAAATATCAAAAATCTGAATATTGAATATTGTCCTGAAATTAATTTTGATTGCGATTCAAAAATAAATTTGGTTTTCAAATCTCAATCTCATAATATTTTGGTATGGTATCAGTATTTCTGAATACGAAATTATTTACTTTCATGATCAATAATGAAATATATGCATAAATCAATAATGATTCGAATTTGTATAGCCTTGAACATTTTTATATGGTGTAGCGTTGTAGGTTTAATTCGATTATTGAAATCCTTGGTGATGGCAAGTTGAGGTGATAAAAGTCTAATAAAAACTAATCAAAATGTTCTGTTGAATGAAATCAATCGAAGTCTCCATTAAATGAATTCATTATAGTTGCTCATTTGGGGATACGAGACTAATCAAAGCGTCCTGAGTTTGACTAAAGCTAAGGCAAGGACAAAGAGAATGGATGAGATGGTGATATCTCATTTTATTGCCCTCGGTAATCTTTGATCGATGGAATGGAGGCTGAGAAACGACTAATGGAAGTAGCCACTTTTTGGTGTTCTTAAAATAATGCCTTGTTCACTTCCCATTTCGTTAACTGTTTTCTATTTTTATTTGAAGAAAGGGTAAATTGCAAGATTGGTCACTGGGTTTACTAAAAAGCTCCATATTTACCCAAATTATTGAATGAGACAACTAGTATTCCAATTTATGAGGTGATTAAACCCCAATCCACCCTCTTTCTTTGGCAAAGCCAAATATCTACACAACACCTTAGCCTTCTTTCCTTCCTCTTTACAACTCCACAAGAAATCAGAATAGATTTTTTCAACCATCTTAATCACTTTCACATGAAGCTCTATCATACCCATTTAGTATTGGGAGATACTTGAAATGACGATTGAAACTAACGGTAACTTACTAATACAGGACACAACCTTCACCCCCAACCCTGTACCCTAGTTGTTATTTTATCTACCATGGCTCTACAATCTGTTGCATTCAACTTCTCAGCTACTAAAGGAATCTCAAATACCAGACTGGCAGTTTACCAATATGGAATGTTGGTTTTGTTGTTATTTGATGCCGAGTGTTATTATCACACTAGCACAAAAAGACTATCAAGAATATTTCTTGTCTACATTCTAGTGTTTTTGGTATGCTTTTGGAGATTTCTGGAATGGATTCTAGTATTTATGATATGCATTATTGTATTTCTAGCATGGATTATTGTGTTTAAGGCATGGATTCTAGTTTTCTAGTATATGTTGCTTAATTTCGTTACTTTGGTTCAACTAGATTCTGGCTCTGGGGATCAGAAATTGAAAATGATAAATAAAAATTATTTAGAGTATAGAACTAACACAAATTTGATTTATCTTTGGTGTGTTGTTTTCCTATTGATTCCGATTAGTGTTAGCACCAAAATAACATTTTGGGCTAATCTAGTTTTTTTACCCGCCCTTTGCAGCAAAAGCTTTTTTATATTAAAATTTCATTCACTCATTTAATGATTTAGTGAAATACAATTATTTACAAAATAGTTCAAGAAACTTCTATAATATTTATGTAATTTCTTAATTATCACAAAAGGCCTACGTAACACGTTTGTTTAATTAATTGATACATAAGGTATAATTAACCCTTCAGCATTTTTAGTTTACAAAATATATTTTAAATACCGTTATAGAACGATGTTACATAATTTTTCATAATGTGTGGTTTGATAATAGAATTAATTTATAGATAAATCTCATATTTGGTTAAACTATTATGTAAAAATATCACATTTAAGTTATGAAAAGTATCACATTTGATTAAAATGTTATGTAGAAATAACCTACCTACAAAACCTTTTTGTAATGCAAATTTAGAATACAATTGTAGTTAATAATTTAAGATTTTTAGTTAAAACTTATATCATCATGAAATACTTACATTATATTGTTTGTCTAAATACGCCAAGTTACGAATTTATATACCGAGCATTTGTTCATTCCATTTAGAATTCTATGTTTCGGGATGGTTGATGTGCATGCATGCTCGAACTTCAGAGAATGATTAGACATTATAACGAGCTTTATAGACTTCATTGGTGCAAGAAAGAATACAGATCGATTACTATTCTGATTGGCTGTCAATATCGCCGGTCCAGATTTTCTAGTCTGTGTATAATATATAGTTTCGCCATCTGGGGTTAGAGCAACGGGAAAAGATGGGTGAAAGAAAGAACACAAAGAAGCCGAATGTGAAGATCCCAATCACAGACGAGCATTACCCGTCACTTTAATTAATAACACAAATGTGCAAAGATTATATATCCACTACTGTATCTTGTTGTGCTTTCTTTTTAATTATTGTCAAAACTTTGGACTCCATTGCTGCCGTGAAGAAGTGTTCAGAATGGTTGTCAAAAAAAAAGTGTTCAGAATATGAGAGAGAGAGGTGAGAAATAATTAAATTAAGTAGAAAAGGAGAAAGATTTCCACCGGACACGATGATAGATTAAGATCACTAATCCCACATCATAACTACAACAGCTAGCATCAATTCATTCATAATGATGTTGATGCCCAACAAATAAAAAAAAAATCATATAAAAAGCAGGCCACTTAACAAGGTGTCATTTGATATTAATAAAAATATATATAGAAATTGCAACCATGATTTGGGATAAAAAGTGATATGAACACAATATAGAGTATAGGGAAAATGATCACGTCAGTAAATTTATGGTGAGTAACTATGAGTAATTCTTTAATATCAGCATGATATCAGCATCCCTTTCTCCTGAAAAGCCTTTAATTTCCCCCTTTTAATCTTTGACGCACGATTTATCACTCATTTTAAGTCGAAATTTAATTTTTTTTGCACAGTTAGATCAGATTAACTGTGCTCTTCACAATAATATCCACTTTGGTACATTTTTCGAACAAAAAAAATTGAGCAATTTTTTACCAGTCTATACCATATGGTATTGACTGGTATTGAAATAAGAGTATACCTATGGTTTGAAAATCGTACCATGGTGGTATGAACAAACCAAGACTGTAGGATGGTTGAATACATGATAGTAAAAGTATATTAACTGTCATTTACGACTTTTAACATTGTGTACCACAAGATACCACCCCGTACCAGGGTGGTATTGTATGGTATTGTGTAGTATTTTTTTGGTCATGTAATTTGTTCACCCAGAAATTTGTAGATCCAATAGATCACGATGAACTTGTTCCTTCTGTGCAAACGTTTTCAAAAACGAATTAAAAACGAAGAAGATACCATATGGTATGGAGTTGGGTACCGAGACAAGAATTTTTTTCTCTAAAAAATATTGAAAATGGATCTCATTTTGTAGAGCACAACAAACTCGTTCCATCTGTGCAAAAAAAAATTAAAATCCGAGTTAAAATGAAGAAGATATGAGTCGATTAAGAAAGCTAGGGAAAATAAAAATGGTCTTTAATTCTTCATCCTTAGATCTGGATTTTCTAAATGAAGGGTCCAGATTTAGTTATTGAGCCAGAGTATAGATCCAATCCAAAATAATTGGAGTTTTATGAATATCGATATTCATATAGGCATTTGGGCAAAACATTAAATCATGTTCATACCCAATCGGATTCAGAGTACCTGATGTCATCCATAAATAATAACTCCAACCGACATGTTAACATTCATATGTATCCGAATACTTAGATTCAAGTCTTGCACCTGCCTAATAAAATCCATTCAAATTTTTTTTTTTTTTTTTTGACAAAAGATAATCAATAGATTGAAATCAATAGATCATTACATCCTGGAATACAGTCAGGCCTGGAAATCAAACAAACGACAAGTAGTCGGAAACAAAGACAGGGTCTGTCTAGCTACCAAATGAGCTACCCTATTATTTCGACGACCTACAAATCGTATAGTGAACCCTACGTTCGAAGCAAACAAATTGATCAACTCTTCCAGAATCGCCCCTATCTGATTATCCCGAGCATCACGTCGGAGAATCTTCTCGATTACCACCTGGGCATCACCTTCAAACCTCACGTCAGTGAATCCATTTGCCAAACACCAGCCAATCGCCTCCCGTAGAACCAGGGCTTCAACCATCATTGGATCACCAAGTACCGTGAACTGTACCCCCTTCGCAAGGATGACCGCTCTATCAGCATTTAGGATAACCATCCCCCCTGCCACATGCGATCCCACCCTCACAGCCCCATCCCACATACAAACTGCTGTGTCATTTCCATCAGCAGTGACAGCAGGGGTGGAAGGGCTCGCCAGCTGATCAGTCCGATTCCGGGGCAAGCACATCCATTCCTGAACTTGTTGGTGGAATTGCCGCATCAAGGCAGGGATCCCGAACTGTTTCCCTTCAAAGACTACCCAGTTACGGGATCGCCAAATCCGCCACAAAACAGCCACTACCGACATCACCAAAGCAGGGGTATGTACCAGCGCCAGCAATTTCTTCAAAAAGAGCGAAAACGTATGGCGAGGCAAACCCTCACCCAGGTAGGCTAGCCCCGAATGATCCCACAGTGCACGAGCCACCGGACACTCTAAGAACATATGTTCCAGAGTTTCCGATGTCCCCCAACACACCGGACACCGAGGTAAGACATCCACCTTTTTTTCCCTCAACGCTTCCGTAGTAGGCAGAATTCTGTGAAAGATTTGCCAAATGAACACCCTAAGCTTCGGAGGAATATCCGCCTCCCACATCCTGATCCAACTGGACTTATCCATCCAACTAGCCAAAGCCCTCCAACGACCATTCTGACGATCCAAATTCACCGCGACGTAATACGCGGATTTAACTGAGAAATTACCATCAGAAGTCGGATGCCATATCAACTTATCCTCAATGTTCTGTCGCGGCAAGGAGATGGTCATAATGGCTTTGCAGGTCTCAGGATCAAACCATTGACTAAGTTTCTGCTCATTCCATCGTCCCTCCCCTTGGTGGATCACGTCCCCCACCTTCAAACCCGCACCATCAGGAACCACACACGGGTTATAGACTGGATGACGTGGGTGTTGCTGGGGAATCCAACTGGACGTTAGCAAAGGGGTCTGCTGACCATTCCCAATCTGCCATCTCAACCCTGCTTCCAACAATTGTCGTCCAAAGAGGATACTTTGTCATCCCCAAGAGGGACGAGATCGGGCTTGCGCAGTGAGAAATGTCCCATTGGGGAAGTACTTCCCTTTATACACCCGGGCAATCAGAGATTGAGGTTCCACAAGGATCCGTCATCCGATTTTCGCCAGCAAAGCTTGGTTGAAATGTTCGAAGCGGCGAAACCCCATACCCCCTTCATGCTTGCTTGTGCACAAATTCCTCCAAGATATCCAACGAATCTTAGACTTACCATCTTCCACCCCCCACCAAAATCGGGCTATATGTTTATCAAGCAGGCGACACAGAGCTAGGGGTAGTTTAAAGCAGGACATAACATGCAGAGGCAGCGCTAAAGCCACTGATTTAATTAATGTCTCCTTAGCAGCCCACGAAAATGTTCGCCTCTTCCACCCCTGCAATCTCGCCAGAAGTTTCTCCTCTAGGTAGCGGAAAGTAGCCATTTTCGACCGGGCAATCAGTGAGGGGAGGCCCAAATATTTATCGTGGACGCCCACCGCCCCCACCCCCAAAATTGCCGCCAAGAATTCCTGATCCGCCATCGCAATATTTTTACTAAAGCACACAGCCGATTTCTCCAGATTAACCCTTTGGCCACTCAACTCCTCATATTCATTAAGAACCTCGATCAAATTCTCACATTCTTCGAGGGAGCCTCTAAGAAAAAGATAAGAATCATCGGCAAAGAACAAATGTGATATACGAGGCGCACGAGGGGCTACTTTGAGCCCTTGTAATTTCCCTACCGATATGGCTTGACGAAGGAGAGCCGCAAACCCTTCCATACATATGACAAAAAGAAGGGGAGATTGCGGATCACCTTGCCTGAGTCCATGAGTCGGGGAAAAGAAACCAGCAGGGGTCCCATTCATAAGGACCGAAAAAGATGTAGATTGGAGGCATTCCTTAATCCATCCTCGCCAGACAGAGTTAAATCCCATTTTTTCCATTACCCCTAGGAGAAAGGGCCATTCGACTCTATCATAGACTTTTTCCATGTCAACCTTTAGAGCCATATACCCCTTCTTCCCACGATTTTTTATTTTCAGGTAATGCATTAACTCGTGCCCTAAGAGGATATTTTCCACAATTTGCCTCTCCCGAATAAAAGCATTCTGGCCATCGGAAATAATTTGGGGCAAGATACAAGCGAGCCTTCCTGCCATAATTTTAGTAATAACCTTATAAACGAATTGGCAGAGGCTAATAGGTCGCAGTTGACGAATCGACTCGACCTGATCCACCTTGGGAATCAAAGTCAACCAAGTATGGTTAAAACTGCGGAGCATCCTACACGTTTCAAAAAACGAGCTCACCGCTTGTATCACCGAATCCCCAACTATACCCCAGAAAGCTTTAAAGAACTTGCCAGTAAAGCCATCTGAGCCTGGAGCCTGCTTCGATCCCATAGAGAATATTGTATCCCTGATTTCCTTAGGGAGGACCTCAGCAGTCAGGTGTGCATTCATTTCCGGAGTTACGCACGCGTCTATGGGAAGGCCATCCACTCTCTCAAACATGTTGTCAATCTGATTTTCGAAAGTGAATAGGGATCGGTAAAAATTACTGGCAATATCTGCCTTCCCGTGCTCCTCCGTGATCCAATCCCCTTCCTCATTATACAGACCAACAACAAAGTTTTGCTTACGCCGAGCCCTTGTGACCGTGTGGAAATAAGCCGAGTTTTTATCCCCCTTCTTAAGCCATCTAACGCGAGATTTTTGTTGCCAATAGCTTTCTTCAGCCTCCCATTGCATATTCAACTCAGACTCCAGCCGGTTTACCTCTTGCCAATCAATAGGATGAATGGCTTTGATCCGATCAATCTCGCCTTGTAAAGTGTGAATATTACGCAGAGAATTCGTTGTACCAGCTCTACTCCAATCATATAGCAGATGTCGGAGTTTCTTCAATTTTTCCCATAACTGGAACATAGGAGTACCAGGGACGTGCTCATTCCAAACGTACTCCACCATAGCCTTAACTTCGGGATTATGCGCCCATCTTGCATCAAACCGAAACAGTGGGCGACACATCCTAGTATAGGGCTTGTCCGAGAGTAAGAGAGCTCTATGGTCAGATCCCTGGTCCGTGAAGTGCTTAACCAGAGTTTCGGGGAATTGATCAACCCAGCTTTGAGAACAGAGAGCTCTGTCAAGTCTTGCACGAATACAAGCCAATCCCATTCGTCTATTTGTCCAAGTGAAAGGGTCACCCTGAAACCCAGGGTCATGCAGCCCTAACAATTGAATAAAATTCCGGAGATCCAAAGACTGGGATGCATTCCATGGGTTCCCCCCATCTTTTTCATTCTCACTTAGGGTTGCATTAAAATCACCAATAATCACAAAGGGATCAACAAGATTTTCACAAAGCTCACGCAACTGGGTCAGCTGCAAAGCACGTCTCGCAAGATTGCAACTCATATAGACGCAGACAGCAACATAAAAAACTCATTCTCATTAATTCGAGTACAAATGCAAAAACCCGAATGGAAAAACACTGAAGCCTCAACTTCAGGGGACCAAGCAACTACAAGACCACCAGCACCATCAACAGCATCCACAAAAAAACATTGAGAAGACTCAAAACCTAACCCCCGCATTCTACGGGAAACTACTCTCCGGCACGATCTTGTTTCCGAAAAGAAAACAAGGTCCGGTTTATTTGACCGAATTAACCCTACTGCTGTTTGGAATGTGAGGGATGGCCTAATCCCTCTCACATTCCAGGCAAGAAGCCTCATTTATCCGATTGGGGCCACTCCTGGCTGGCTACCTCCACCACTTCATTACCACTCTGATCTTCCACAAATTGCTTCTTGGGTGTTGGACTTTCTCCAATACCACCTTCCAATTCTTGACGCGAACGTTTCCTAATCATTTCACCTTGGGCCTCCTCCAATTGTTCTTTTTCTTCATTGATGACCATACGAGCCTCAAAGTCAGCAACCACCTGCCGAACCTGTCCCGAGTTAACCGGTCGAGTAGGATCAGCCATGGGACTTCTGCTTTTAATTTCAAATTGCGACTTATCATCCTCTGAGAGAGATACCCTACCCAATTGAATTAAATTTGTGCAGGCGATATCCATGATTTTTATCTAATTGATAAAATGCTTATATGCTTATCAAGTTGGGAATAGTCTGAGTTCCCAACTTTGCCTCCATATTTCCAACAATGAACATAAATTATCTTCAACTGTAATGGAAATGTACCATCAAGATTTTCCCCCCAAGATAACTATGTAGATATAATGATGCTAAGCAAAATCTATAAAGCTCTCTCTCTATTTTTTTTTTATTCTTGAGATTTTTTTTTCTTGAATGAAATGCATATGTTTCTTAATTAAGATTGAAATATTTAGTATAAAAACAATATCCCATATATACAACAACATATATAGATCTAGGAATGGATGTCACGAAAATTAAAAGAATTAGCTCTATATGAAACATCGACGTTTCTGCACATTTAAATTTTAATCTACCAACAGTATAAATAGAGAACAAGGAAAATTAAGAAGAAAAGAAAAGATTGGTACTTTGGTATAGTTAGACAGAAACTCTCATATATACCGCCATTAATTAACAATCACAAGGCGGATAAAGCTTAATTTATAGCGAGCATTTCAGAATTTCTGTTCATCTTTTCGCCAGAATTCTGCTCATCGATCATCCAAAAAGTTACAAAAAAAAAAAAACTCAAAATATTTTCTTAAAGTGAAATTTGTTTTGGTAAATGAATTAGTTAGAAAGCGGCATACAACATAGCGCCCTGCTTCTTGGCTCTGGTCCTCCTCCTGGGCGGCGGCGGGGTGACGCTGGCGTCGTTGAGAATGAGTGGGGCGTCGTTGGCGTCTTCGGCGTCATCGTCGACGGTGGCGATCCGGATGCAGGAGCAGCTGTCCAAGGAGGCGAAGAAGGCGGCGGCGACGCCGTTGACGAGCCACATGGCGACGCCGTCGAGCTTGCTGCAAGAGGCGGCGGGGGAGTGGTGGTGGCGGACTCCTCTGCTGGCGGTGGAATTGGAGCGGAAGTTGAAGAAGCCGCCGCCGCCGCAGGGGTTGTTGTTGTTAATGTTGGCGGAGGAGGTTGTCACCGCTGCCATTTTGATTTTTTAGGGATCCGAGATCCCGAGCGAGCTGGGGTTTCTGTTTTGCGTTTTTTGGGGGGTTTTGTAGAGAAAAGGAAGGAAGAAAGAGGGCGGTGGTGGGTGGATTCTACTCACTCCACTCCATTGCTCTGTCTGTCTATCGGTGCGGCGGGTTGTCACAATTGTGTTGTTGAGAGACAGCTCTCTCTCTCTCTCTCTTCTCTCTCTCTCTCTCTCTCTTTTCTTTCTTGCTTTCTTACTACTTTCCGGGGTAATTAGTATAAATGGTAACAAACCTTTGCACTTAGTACAAAACGGTTACAAACTTTTAATTTGTAACAATACGGTAACAAAACTTTGAAATTGTATAAAATGGTCACCGCTATTTAATTTGTGACCGTTTTGTTTTAAATGAAAAGGGTTGTTACCGAATCGTTACAAATTAAATGTTTGTCATGTTTTGAGGTCGGGTAGTTTGTTCGTTAAGTATATGACACTAACCACTTGAACGACATATAAGATGTCAGCTCATGTGCTCATCGACATATTTGCTTTGCCAAATAAGAATGCCCTCAGTTGACCTTTCAATTTCGATACCAATCTATCAAAAACAAATTTCGATACCAAGAAAGTAGAAAGAGTTTTTTCAACTAAAAAGCAGTCTGGAACCCGTTTGTGAGCCATTGAATTCTCTCATTGTCATCCTTTATGACGATCATATCATTCACATTATCACATACATTAACAAAACCATCATACAACTAGAGCGAATTGTAACGGTGATTGAGCGTTCAAATTTTTGAACTTAATTTGTACAAAACGGTCACCAAAAGTCTAATTTGCAACGATACGGTAACAAAAGTTCGAACTGGTATGAAATGGTCACACTGTTTAATTTGTGACCGTTTTGTTCTAAGTAAAAAGTTTTGTTATCAAATGGTTACAAATTAAAGGTTTGTGACTGTTTTGTACTAAATGCAAAGGTTTGTGACCATTTATGCTAATCACTCCTGCTTTCCGCCCTTCCTTTTCACGGCGGATTCAACTGCTTATTCTCTGAATTAGAAGAATTCAACTCGGCCACGCCCGACCCGAGCCCAGTTGGCAGGCCCAATAACTCACTCACTCACTCATAACAAACGGGTCTCCACTCTCCACTGGGAATGGCAATGAGAGGTGAGACCGGTATCTCGATATACAAATCTATCGTGTGGTATGGCGAATTTAGATCGAGTAATTTAGGGATTGTTTGGGTTTGGTTATAGTTTAGTTGAGATTTGTTATAATAAATGTATTTTTCATAATGAATGAAGCCGATAAAAGTAAAATACTAAATAATTTTAGTAAAATTACATATAATTTTATACAAATTAGTTTGAAAATTTAGTTTTGATTTCGGACTCTAAAACTTGTTTCAAGAGGTAAAACATATTGTGATATGCACAATGATTTTCATTTCTATTATTTTGTGAACAAAAGATTTCTCATCCTTTTTACAAGGATCATAAAGCAGTTTATACAAACACCATGCATCCTTTTTACAAGGCAATGTGTAGTAAGACATGATACGATCATAGATATTTTTTATTCCAAAACATATTAAAATAAATATCATCTTATAAACATAATTCATGTTTCCTTTCTATGAAAAAAATAGTGGAAACGATTGAGAAATAATTGGTTAAATTACCATGGAAGAGTAGATTTATTGATGGCTGAGATTGATTTTTAATGGAGAAAAAGATATATTCATAAGGTTATTTAGAGTAAGATATTCAATAGATATTCCCGACTTGAAAATCTAACATACTGTTTGGTATTAATGAACGTCATAAGTTTTTAGGAATTCGTTCTGAATTTTTTTTTGTGTGTTTGGAATATTATTATGTTGAACTGAGGCTAGTTTTAGCAATTCTAAGAAATTGAGGTGGAATTTCCAAATGAATTCCACAAGTATTTTACTAATTATGATAATATGACATAACTATCCTCAATTATTAAGTAATTACCCTTATATATAGTAGGCTTCAATACTCCATATTTGTGAGCCTAATCTTCCTCTCTCATCCACTAGTTATCCTAATATATAATCATCGTTTTGCTGCTATATTCTCTTTTGTGTGCTTTTCGCCCGACTCTCCTACTTTCATTCTCCTGCTAAGCTGTAACGCTGCTACTACTTATTTCTCGCTTTTTGCTTGGTCAGATTGGTTGGATGATAACTTCAACACTTTCATTTTTTAGAAGATATCTTTTTAATGAATTATAAAAATAATGTTTATGTCGGAAATTAATAAGGGTATAGTTGGAAACTTTTAATTTGATTCATTTCTAAACGTATTCCACACACTGGGTGGGAAATCAATTCAATTTAGTTTTAAATATTTGAATATCATATTTCAAATATTGAAATTCAGTTGACAATAAATTCTATAGACGAGTTCATTTTAAAATGAATGAATTTTCAATTCATTTTATTCCAATGTAAACTAAAATAAAATAGAATAAGCCATAAAAAAATAATATTGATGTAATCGATAATTTTTGAATTGAACTAATCTTCGGAATCAAATAAATTAGGAATTTTTGTTTGTTTTATGGTCATACTTCGTTTCTTTGTTTAGTAAAAAACACACGTAATCCAATTGGCAGAACTAATTGTAGATACCATAGAAAGTACATAACCAAGTATTATTTGTTGACTTGGTTCTCTCTCATTTTATATATCCCGGAAATGTGGTGATATGGTGGAATGATTCTCAATTTTATAAATTATAATCAATAAGTGGAACATAAAACCCTAAACTCTATAATAGCGAAAGGTGGGGCTTGGAGAATAAAATGATTAATAATGGATTCGAAATAATGGCGCATCTCATCATGGTTTTGGGTTCCCCTTTCCCGCACTACAGGACTTCACTCAATTAGCTAGTTAGCTAGCCTTTCCGCCGGCACCAGAAATATACAAGAAATAAATCCATACCCTCTTCTTCCTTGCCATTCTACTCATACGAGGGTTTTTTTTTTTTACAAGGTGAGTATATTTATATTCCACTCTGAAAATCTCATTTACATTTGAAAATCACAGTGACAACTGACAAGAGGTGAATTACACCATTAAAGGTGTAACCAAAGCAATAATGAAAATTGAATGTCACAAGAACGATCAGGGTTGAACAAAGCCAACACAACAAAACCATTACAAGTAGGGTTGGGAAACGGTGCGGTCTGTTCCAGACCAAACCATATATACGGTCTATGGTCCAGACCAAGAGGCTGAAGTATAGACCACAGACCAGACCACTGACTATACGGTCCAGACCACGCCTGTGCGGTCTGGTTCGGTCTGGTCTGGTCCAGATAGAACACACTAAAAAAATGAATAATTTGTTTAGTTGACCACACAAAAAATTGAACCAATAACCAAGAAAAATAATTGTTATTTGCCTTAAAACATTAATCCTGACATGCATGAATAATTTTGATACCCTAAATCTTAGTACATAACAAAAATACAAAGTAAAAGCATCCAAACTTGCACCATAACGTTATAAATATTAACATAATGTCATATGGAGACACGGTTATCTCTACTCTCTAGTTAAATGTGGTTGTGAATGAAGGAGGGACGAGATTCTCAAAATTAAGGTTGAGACTTAAGTGTCGTTGTGGCTGTTGGGAGAGTGATCGAATGCGCTATTAACACGTATTGACAAGTCATTTGCGTCTACGGTTTGGTCCGGTAAACCGCGCTCTAGACCAGACTAGACCAAGAAATCAAAACATAAAATAATACAGACCATGGACCAGACCAGACCATACTTAATGGTCTACGGTCCAGACCAAACTATGCGGTACGGTTTGGACCACGGTTTTTCTAACGGTCTGGTCTATTTTCCCAGCCCTAATTACAGGTGCCAAATGAAATGAAAGACTAAATTACATGTTTGGTCACTCAAGTTACATTAATCTTTCATGTTTGCCACACAAATTACTTTTCTTTTTTATTCGCCACTAACTTTACGAATCGTTTCACAATAGGTACCGACCTCAGTCTCTGTTAACTTCGTCAGTTTTTGTATGACGTGGCAAACAGACCGCTGACTAGACCGTTAATTTAATGATATGTTAATTTAAAAAAACTAGCTTTTACCCGACCCGTTGGTCGGATCAATTTCATTCTATTTCGTATAATTTATTTTATCAATATTTATGATTTACTTGATTTGGGATCGTTAATTTTATATGATTCACGAAAAATATTTGTGGTTTTAAGAGTTGACAATGACGTAAAAGGATAGTCCAATCTATTATATTGACCAAAATCTCAAATATTTGAAGTATTTATTTGAAATTTTATTAAATAAAACACTTGTTGATTCAAATATACAATCATTTGTCGTGAAAATGGGATTTTATGAAAAAAGATTCATGACTTCATAAAGAAAGAAAACCAATTTGATATTCAATAACAAATGTGAACATCGTTTGGATCATATGTTTCAGTTATGTATTTGGTATCTAAATTCAACACATGCGAGATTTGTCTAACTCCTAAATTTGGAAGTAGGTGCTAAAACTCTAATCAAATCAAAGGTCAAGGATGAAAAGTTTTGCTATCGAATTTGAAATTTGTTGGTCCCCATTAATTTGGAATAAGTGACATCCATAAATTAGATTTGTAAATCGAGCATTCAAAGAGACCGATGGGAAAGACATAAAAGTAAAGAAAACAGTAAAACCATCCAAACAACAAACCTGGGAAGAATTATCATGGTGCCATATTAGCCAACATACAATACATTATTAGTAGTTGATTAAAAACATGTCATCTTCAAGATTCTCTGGCAATCTCATGGTTTATTGATTAAAACGCGATTCCCAATATGAGAAATCTGTATGTGATCTGGTCACAATTATCTTTTCGCCTATGTTGGTCCTTGCAATTAACAACCCATAACAAAATGAGCTAGCATGTGGCATAGTTATAAGGTATATGCACAAAAGCGAGTTAT